ATAATTATGGCTGAATGAAGGTGAATGATCCACGCCACCTTTATTATAATAGTATGACATTCGAGAACGATCCGGAGGTACGCGAGAGGACGTTGAAGGCTGTTGCTGAAACGCATGTTCGCCGACAATACCAGGGACGGCGGAAATTGCTGATGCATAATTGGGTGCAGGGGCGGTGCGCGAAAAGGCCATAAGGTCGGGAGTGTAGTAGGAGTGAAGATAAGTATTTGAGCCTTGGGCAGTGGCTGAGAAGCGGTCATTATCCACGGGTGGAGGCAAAAAGGGAGCTGGCCTGTACAGTTGAACATCTTCATCAATATCAGCTGTGCATGTACAGGAGCAAGATGTGATTCGTTGCCGATCAAATGCCAGGGACACACGATGAATAACGGTGTTTGGCTTTAATTCGAATGCAGTATGCGGTTGCAGTTGGTCTTGCATTACGGACGGTGGAAGATTAGAGATGGGAGGAACTGGGGGAAGAGTGGTCTCTGGCACCGGTGGGCTCATTACAGTCTGACCCACACCAGTGACAACATTAGCACTGAGATGAAATCCTAAAAGGCGTAGTGTATGTGAGAAATTATTCTTGAAAAATCTCAAAGGCACTTTGGGACATGTGATAAATCAGATATTATCATTTATGTATACGAATATGTACAAGAAGAAGAGTGAATTGTTTACCTATTTGCATGCAGTCACGAACCGCGCCCTTCGCCCACAGCAGTTCGCCCTGGGTAAAAGCATAAGACCCGCCAACACTCAGGCAAGAATACAACCAAATATCAGCTTCATCGGTTGGGAAACTGTAAAATGCGATCAGCTTTTGGAGTTCTTCTGGAACCGTGAAAGGACTCAACTCGACAACCTCAAAAGGCAAATTGGCTGCGATGTATCTGGCCGTAATTGAGAGAAGGGATTCCGGTGACGTGCTCTTGAAATCTGCAAAGAAATGCAAATACATTTAAGTTAACGAAAAAGGCCTTTATGGCTTTCCATCAGCCTATATAAAATAGGCCGATGAATGGAGAAATTAGAATCATTACGGTGATTGCTTCGAAAAGACTGTATGGGTTTAAACACTGTTGAGTAAATCTTACAAATAACCTAATTACGATATAAGTTTAAAATGGTTTTCGAAACACCTGGAAAGATGTAAGTGGACAAAGGTGTAAAAAATGTCAAGACATTAATGCGTTGTATTTAACAATAGCATACTGTGGATACCGAAGATATTTCGCAGCGCACAAAGCGCAACCAGTTGCAGAAACTGAATTTAATTACTTGGAAGAACATGGAACATTTAAATATTGAGCGGAGACCTACCAGATGAATTATTTCGATGCCAAAGTTTCGGGATGCCCGAAAGACCATGCGTAAGGAGGTCAAGGTCTAAGTCGCTCGCAGAAGAATAGGCTTCACACAAATCCATATCACTATCTAGATCGAGCGGCGAGTGCGGAGAACCCGAATGGGAGCTCATGGTTGATAAACGAAGAAAACAATGTCGACCAGTATCGTAAGAAAAAACCACTCCGCCAGCGGGCTCCTGCACCAACTTATGTAAGAAAGAGGTTAAGTCAGTGATTCATGTTTCATGGTGTAATTCATGGAGGGGATCCTTGTAAGACCCTTGATTTTATTTTATTCTTAAGCATTCAAGGGCTAAGAATTTAAATTTTCTTATATTAAGGAGGTATGGCGTTGACTCATGGACTTTATGTTTGACAATCCAAGATCCACGTCCCGCCGTCCCAGTTGTCAGTCGTTCATATTTTCTAATGTTTCGCTGCCGTTTTCCTTTTTTTTAATTTCTCTCATTTAATGAGGTTTTTTATGTTTGCTAGGCAGCCTATCGGTGGATGGCATGGATTTCGACTTTC